TGTTCAATTCAACACGCGTTTCTTTTTTAGCCGGGCTAATAAAGGTCATATTCCAGTCTGCCTCCGTCTTCGCAGCAGCTCAGAAAACTCTGGAACAAAACTCAAGTCACCGACTTGACTATTTCGGTGCTACCTTAACAATGGGAGTGGGTGAATACAGAGAGGATGAGCTGAGGGGTCAATGTAACGAGATAGAATTCATACAAAAACATCTTTTCAGGGATTTAAATGTGTTTTCTTAGCGTCTGTTCTATCAGAGATCTCTCAGTTCTAGGGACAATTAGTGGCATAAAGGTTACCACGGTAACCATTCTATACCGCGCTCAGTTGGTTGAACGGTAAAGGCTGCACCTGGTTTGATGTTTCGAGGAGGAATAATGAAAAACTTCTGTCTGTGTACTTGTACTTGTACTTGTACTTGTGTACTTCATACTCCTGTGGTCTGAGAAAATGTTGGTACAAAATTACAGAGCGCTGTATAAGAACAGTTAACAGTCAAACATCGACGGTGGAAAAGGTAATTCATTATACTCAGCTGATTGAGCCTTTGAAGTGATTTGTTTTTTTCGCCAACTCATCACAGGAAATAAATAATTTATTGAACAAAGAGAGAGAGAGAGATAGAGAGAGAGAGCGAGCTGCTGCACGCCCCTGAGATGAAGAACTTTGAAGGTGGGGAAACACTCCTGCGGCAGCCAGCACATTTTTCTTATTGTCATCATCCACATGCAGCGCTGTACTGTAGATGTTCTCCTGATCAAAGGTGAACGCTGCCCCAGAGAGCACAGCAGCAGAGCACAGGTTCCCCTCCTGCACATTTCCAAACCATCTCAATCTACCTTCTCTAGCTTTTTCTCCAAACCTTGTGTGTTGTCCCTCTAATGATCTCATTCCTGATCCTGTCCATTCTTGTCACTCCTAAAGAGAATCTTAGCATCTTTAACTCTGCCACCTCCAGCTCCGCCTCCTGTCTTCTGCCTATTGCTACTGTCTCTAAACCATACATCATGGCTGGTCTCACCACTGTCCTGTAAACCTTTCCCTTCACCTTAGCTGACACTCTTCTGTCACAGATCACTCCTGACACTTTTCTCCAGCTGTTCCATCCTGCCTGTACTCTATTCTTCACCTCTCTTCCACAGTCTCCGCTGCTCTGAACAGTTGATCCTAAGTACCTAAACTCCTGCACCTTCACCACCTCTGCTCCTTGTAGCCTCACTATTTCACTGTTCTGCCTTTCGTTTACACACATGTACTCTGTCTTGCTGCGACTGACCTTCATTCCTCTTCTTTCTAGTGCAAACCTCCACCTCTCTAGGTTCTCTTCTAGCTGCTGCCTACTCTCACTACAGATCACAATGTCATCTGCAAACATCATAGTCCATGGGGACTCCTGTCTGACCTCATCTGTCAATCTGTCCATCACCACAGCAAACAAGAAGGGGCTCAGGGCCGATCCTTGATGTAGTCCCACCTCCACTTTGAAGTCTTCTGTCCTCCCAACAGCGCACCTCACTACTGTTGTACTATTCTCATACATGTCCTGCACCAAACTAACATACTTCTCTGCCACTCCTGACTTCCTCATACAAAACCACAATTCCTCCCTTGGCACTTTGTCATATGCCTTTTCTAGATCTACAAATACACTTCTTCTCTCCATCACATCAGCTATTTCTCTACTTTTCCCTGTCATTGTACCTATAGTCAAAGTTCCAAACTTCAGGCTAACACTTCTATTCTTCATCTTTTCTCTTTTTCTCCTAACCAAACGTCCTCCTCTTCTTCTCTGTCTCTGACCAACAGTAGTCCAATTTCCATCAGTGCCCTGTTGGTCAACGGCACTGTTGGTGGTCGTTGTTTACCCGGGCCTCGACCAATCCGGTATGGAAATCATTTTATTGATTTGCATATTTAACTTAGCTAAACGTTTTACGCCGGATGCCCTTCCTGACGCAACCCACACCATTTATCTGGGCTTGGGACCGGCACTATAAACACGGCTTCGTGTACCCTAGTGGCTGGCTTAGTTCTTCCTCTAACAGTGTTACGAAAGCAGGATCACTAAATAAGGAGGGGGAGAGCCACCAGTGACGTGTAGCCGGATCATAATAAAGAGGCGTACGTTCTAGGGATAACACTGAATGATCTGAGAGAGTCCTAGCTTTAATAGTACACATTTTAACCCTTTCCAATGCTCGTCTTGAGGTGAAAAAATAATCAATGCTTGAAAATAAATTATGAGGGGATGAAAAGAAGGTAAAATCCTTCGATTTTGGGTTCAGTATTCTCCAGGTGTCTAAAATAGATTCAGATCATTGCATAACGCCCTTACGGCTGGAGTGGATTTCACAGGGTGCTGATCTAGCTCAGGGGTTCGGGTTCGAGGCAGGCATTCTAGTCTCCGCCCAAGATTGTAAGAGGTGCTGTGTTACAGGCTAGAGCAGCCAGGAGTAGAATGAAGACTCATATGTGTTGGGGGAATAAATGCAGTCTAAAGTAAGCTTCTCCCCGTATGGAAAACCTGACAGGATAACATCTTCCTTCCGAATCAGTGATGCATTTTTCCAGTGCAAAAGGCACCCTTTTATGCAGCAGGATCCCTACACCCCTACTTTTGGAGTTAAAAGCTGAGTGATACACTTGACCCACCCAGTCTCTCCTCAGTTTTACATGTTCAATATCACTTAAGTGGGTCTCTTGTAAAAAGGCTATATGGGTTCCTTCCTTTTTAAGGGATGAAATAATTTTACGCCGCTTAATTACATTATTAATACCCTTCACCTTCCATGATGTGAATTTGATGACACTCATTTTAACTGTGAAGAAAAATCCCATGTACAGAAGTAGATGTGTCCACAAAGGCCTGTAACACTTAAACACAAAGTAAACAGGAATAAGTACTGCTGTCACATGTAAACAAAACCCACCCTGCACAGAACTCACAAATATGACCCGGTATCGGATCGGAAAGGAAATTGGTGGTATCGAACATCACTACCACAGACAAAGAGCTCGAGACACCAAGGATGTACGCTGAGAAGTGGGCGGAGTGTATGACAGTGGCATACCGGATTGCTTCAGAGAACAGCAGGAACTCAAGTGCTCGTGGGAAAAAGTATTATGACAAACACATGAGGAGTGGTGCTGCAACCTGGAGACAGGGTACTAGTACGAAATCTGAGCGAGAGGGGTGGTCCTGGTAAATTGAGGGCATATTGGGAAAATGCTGTGTATGTTGTGAAGGAACAAATCAGAGACAATCCAGTCTACAAAGTGGTCTCAGAGGTGGATGAGAACAAGTCACGAGTTCTGCATCATAATTTATTACATCTCATCAATGACTTACCTATCGATCTGCCGATAAATAAAGAGAAATTTCAAACACCAACATCCATCACAAACAACCCCACCCAACCGCTGCACCAGACTGTGGAGGACCTGCGTAGCTCCTTCAGCGGCAGGCTCCGGCATCCACAATGCAGGAAGGAGCGCTACCGCAGGTCCTTCCTCCCATCCGCCATAAGACTGTTTAACTCCCTACATTGATTACCTGCACCCTTCACTGCCACTTTTTTAGTGCAATATGTATATTTTCTTGTTTATAATGTATATTTTTTTCTAAAGGTTTACTTTAATTTTTGAGTGCTCTTTGCTTTTTAGTTCTTTTTTACTCTATTTATTGTGTTAACTCCTCTTCTCTCTTTTTCTGCACTGCCTACTGTACTAGTATGTTTCCCCCAAGGGGGATGAATAAAGCCCTACTCTACTCTACTCTACTCTAAGGGTCTCACAAATATAAAAACAACTGAAGATTACCCACAGGGTATTATGGGGGGACATGACACTAAAAGAGGCCGTCACTACATAGAAAGCAAAAAAAGTAAGAGAAAAAAAAAGAGATGGGGAATAAAACCGAAAAAGGGAAAGCAAAATTCTCCCAAGAGAGCCCCCGCTCCAGTTCAGAACAGATGTACCAAAGTTCTGGTACCATCCAGGTAGTCTACACCGAACTAAGCTTAACCTGATCGTTAGCAAGAATCATGGCAGCTATAAGAGATGGTGGCCCAATTTAAATCAGGAAATTAACCAGCACAGCCAAGTAAAAAATGTAAAATAGCTGCAGATCCTATACAGTAAGTATACTTTTCTCTGAGTATTAACCAAAATCTGAATTTAGTAAACTTTGGACGTAGTCCTCAGAAGGAGACTGTATAACACAGCAGAATAGCATGTAGAAATATATGAAAATAACCAACCGTTTTAATGTTTATTTACATGTCTCACTGGGGGATGAAATCAGTTGAGTGTGTCCATAAACTGTTGGGCTTCGTGCGCGTTGCTGAAGCCGTGCTCCGTTCCGTTATGCTGAACCATGAGCCTTGCCGGGAACCCTCGATCTATGAGCTTACGGACCACTTCGTTATAGGAGCGACGCTTCAATCGCACCGTCGACGCTTCAATCGCACCGTGTTGGAACCGTGTTCCAACTTTTTCCCCTTCGTTGCTGCTGCTAGGATCCGAGGCTTATCGCGGGAGTTGTGGAGTTTGATGATCACCGATCGCGGGCGGTCATTCTTCGGTCAGGTGTTCTGAAGTTTTCTCCTACCTATAGTTTTTTGGCCGGTAGCAGAAATGTATAGCTATAGCTGAAGTTTTTTCCTACTTGAAGTTTTTTCCTACCCGTAGCGTAAATTTATAGACATATCTGACATTTGTGTTCAGGGTGGTACAACATTATTATACACATCAAATCTTGATAAATACGTGCTTCTGACTCTATTTAGAGTGGTAGCACATTACTATAGGCATGAAATCGCTATAAATACGTGCTTCTCAGTCTATTCAAAGTGGAAGCACATTACTATAGGCATGGAATCGCTATAAATACGTGCTTCTGACTCTATTTAGAGTGATAGCACATAACTATAGACATGAAATTGCTATAAATACGTGCTTCTCAGTGTATTCAGAGTGGTAGCACATAACTATAGGTATATAATCGCTATAAATACATACGTAGCATAAAAAAAAATTAAACTTTTTTTTTCCTCTCTTGAAAAAAAATATAACTGTGCAAATTATTTTTTATATTACTGCCAGTTCCTCAGAATCTTCCTGTTGCAGGCAACCTCATGGCAACCTTATGCTTCTCTCAAGCCATCTGTCTTTCCTGGTTAAAAAGTGAACATGAGTCCTGTCCAGAAGAAGTTGAATCCGTGATGACTAAGAAGCATCATAGACAGAAGTTAAAAATGTTTATGTGCATTGCTATATAACTTTCAGCCCCAATTCATCCAATGTAAGATATTTTAGAATGAATGATCAGTGACTTTTTTCTATTAAATGTATATATTAAAAGTATTTCTCTCAGAGAAAAAGGCCACTCTGATATAAGTTCACACAAGATTCATAAAATGGTTAGAAATTATGTGAAATTTGCCTTTTTCTCCGTTTTTGCGTAGTTCCAATGTACACAAAGGAAATAAACCGATTATATACCTAACAAAACATAGCAATCAATAACTCAATGGAAGAAATGTCCATTTCATGGACAAATGTCAGGGGTCCATACACTTCCATCCAAGAGAATTGTAAACAAGCTTATGAAATACTGTAAACCCTGCTCTAATTTGGTAAGGTACTGTTTTAAAACAGCTGGAAAATCACAGCGCTATTAGACATTCGAATTGCATACACATAAGTTCGCAGGCTACATGAGGAAGTTTTATGACTACAAAAATAACGATAAATCGCAATATTAGCTATTCAAACTGCATTCAGACATGATCTCATGCACGTGGCCAGTTGAAATAAGTAGACTGTCAAACCTATGCATTGCATACTGGTTATATAAAGTATTAAAATTACAAGAAACTAACCTTGTTTAACGGTCGGGTAGCAGAAAACTATGGCTTGTCTGCAGCGGCAAATTGACCGATGTGCGCATACGCAGTTGACTCGCGGAGCAAAAAACTATAGGTAGGAGAAAACTTCAGAACAGCGGGGATGGTCTTCTGACTGTTCTCCACGTGCGCGAGGCGAAGCTCGAGAGCGGCCATCTGATTGTCAATGGCGGAGATCCGTTGTTCTGCTTCGTTGATACGTTTTGATTGGCTTTCCAATGTACTCGCAATTTTGTTCAAGGCGTCAGTAAGTTTAGAAAACTTCTGATCCATGATTTCGTTTATATTTTGAGTGACTTCCCGTACGAGTTCGGACAAGTCTATGGCACTCGCTCCTACCTCATCAGCGCTGGTCGGAGATGGAGGCGCCACGTTAGGCAGCGACGGGCGGTCTGGAATCTTCGATTGTATTGTTTGCCTCAATTTGGCCGGTCTTTCTCTCAGAGATTGTCCACCAGGCTTTGTTGCCATGTTGCAGTGCATACGCGAGGAGTCAGGCAGGTAAAAGGCACTTTAAAGCTGAAAACATTTGAACCAATGCGGGAGCTCCACCTAAGACACAGTCTTCAGTTCACCATCGTCACGTGACATCACCAATAATAAATGGTTTTAATGCAGTATGTTTAATATGAATTTTATATTAAATATTTGTAATACATCTACAAATACTTGATACTGATGATGATCTGGAGTCTCACCAACAGGAGTCTAGAATCAAACCAGCAACCTATCATGGTCACAGCACTTACCCTGAAACTCTCCCAATCCCAGTGATGATTCCTCCTGCTGGGACTTCCCTTGTTCCAGTACAACTGATACGCTGCAAACTGGGAGAATTCCAAAAAAGGTGTCCTGCAAAAAAGAAAATCTTTATGGACTTGGACTTTCTCTCTCACTGTGTGTGTGTGAGAGTGAGTGTGAGTGAGTCCAAGTCCATAGACACACTGCCTGACTTACATTGGCTCAGTCTGAAGAAAACATTTGTCAAATCTTCTCCTTCATTAAATATTTCCAGCAGTTTTCCACCAAACTACAGCAGGGATTTTCCTGATAGCATTTAACATAAAGCTGCTGAGAATAAACCTGTTACAGAGTGAGTTACTACCACTACCACTACTACTGATACTACTACTACCACTGATACTACTACTACTACTACTGCTACGACTACTACTACCACACATACTACTACTGCCACTGATACTACTACTACTACTGCCACTGATACTACTACTACTACCACCACAGATACTACTACCACTACTACTGCTACTACCACTCATACTACTACTACTACTACCACCACTACTGCTATCACCTCTACTACGACTACTACTACTACCACTTCTACTACTACTACCACTACCATTACTACTACCACTTGTACAACGACTATTACCGCTTATACTACTACTACTACCACTCGCACTACTACTACTACTCGTATTACTGCCACCACCATTGCTACTATTACTACCACTACTAGTACCCCACTACTAAAATTACTACTACTATTATCACTACTGTTACCACAACAACAAATACTTCTACTACTACCACTACTATATTGCTACTATTACTAACACTACTACTACTATTACTACTAGTACTACCACTACTTCTAAAACTACTACCACTATTACCACTACTACTACCACACATACTACTACTACTGCCACTGATACTACTACAGCTACGACTACCACTACTACTAGTACTGGCACTACTACCATTATTACCACTACTACTACCACAACTACTACTATTAGTAAATGTGTTTCCACATCTAACAACTGCGTTCACTGTCATGAGTGTCTACGCTCCAGGAGGAAACAGATAAACTACCCAGGGTCCATTAGTCGGTCTATTCTCTCTCTTGGCAGGAGTTTCCCTCGTGAGATGTGAAGTCTCCGGGCCTTTTCTTCTCCACCTGAAGTGAGAGGAACAAACAGGATGTTGAAAAAATATTCAACTTTAAATAGAACCATGAGACGGCTCTTGTTCTCATGACATAAATAACATCTCTGTTGGACTATCAAATGTAACATGTCATGGACATCATGAACTCAACATTGTTATTAGAGGCCTTAAACAGAAGGGGTTAATGGACAAAAAAAAAACCCATAAAATATTGATATTAATAATTTGTCAAACATTCATATCAAACATGAAGTCCTATGATTGTTAGTCAGTGTTGACCACACCAGATCAGTCGACTCCTACCTACCCAGTTTGATCTTCTCTGTTCGACTCTTCAGCTCATCAACAAGAACTTGCATTTGTTCATAATTTTCCTGGGATTTAAGAAGATAACTATTTTAAAGGAATGATATTTTTTTTAAAAAGTGGAAATGTTATGATTATTAAAAATGAAATAGTAAAGAAACTTTTTCCTAAATCAAAGCAAATTCTCCAGTCTCTTAGGCAAAAACACATGGAGTGTGGTAATCGTGCTATCTAGTGGTACATTTTGACATTACAACTGTATATTAAATGGAGCACCCTACAATATATGGTATGGGCTTCACAATGTTTTTGTCTTGTTTTTTGAATACAATTCAAAATATTTTGATTGAGAAATAAAAAGTATAATAACGAAATTTAACGAAATAAAATAAAAGTTGATGCAAACTAATTTAAACATGGTTAAGATTCTCATGTTTTCATGGTAGTTTCACTATGCTAGCTTTGATATTTTATCCTCTGCAGGAAGCAAACGAGCAACAAAAACCTCCATAATGTAGAATAATAAAGTAATAATAATGTAGACATTTTTTAAATAAGGCATACAATTGCCATATTCATTTTTTAATTTAATTTGGCCTATTTAAAAACAGAAATGGCATGGCTGTAGCGGTCAGTGTGTTTAATGACCTCTTGTTTTGCAGTTTTCATGCTACGGCAAAACTTCTGTTACTAATTATTAATATTTGTTACAATACAAACGTATTAATACACGTCACTGTCAGCTATCATTCAAACCACCAAACAATGTCCTGGCAACTGTGAAAACCTCAACAAGCGACAAAAACTGACGCTTATATAAACAAGGACATATTAGAGCAACACTGACAGCTCGGACTTACTGCCGTTAACTGCGCATGCGTACATCGGCCAATTTGCTGCTGCAGACAAGCCATAGTTTTTTTGCTACCCGACCGTTAAACAAGGTTAGTTTTTTGTATTTTAAATACTTTATATGACCAGTATGCAATGCATAGGTTTGACAGTCAAATTATTTCAACTTGCCACGTGCATGAGATCGTGTCTGAATGCAGTTTGAATAGCTAATACTGCAAATTATCGTCATTTTCTTGTAGTCATAAAACTTGCTCATGTAGCCTGCGAACTTATGTGTATCTAATTCGAATGTCTAATAGCGCTGTGATTTTCCAGCTGTTTTAAAACAGTACCTTACTAAATTAGAGCAGGGTTTACAGTATTGCATAAGCTCGTTTACAAGTCTCTGATATTGGCCTACAGACTTGGATGGAAGTATATGGGCCATTGTTTTGGTGTATAAAACAGGTATAGGTATATATTCAGTTTATTTCCTTTGTGTGCACTGGAACTACACAAAAAAACGAAGAAAAAAGCAAATTTGAGATGATTTCCTAACCACTTCATGAATTTTGTGTGAAATTATATCAGTGTTGCCTTTTTCTCTGAGACTTAATTTAATAGAAAAAGGCCAGGTGATCACTGTTGATCTTTCATTCTAAAATATCTTACATTGGATTAATTAGGGCTGAAGGTTATATAGCAATGCACATAAACATTTTAAACTTCTGTCTATGAAGATTATCGGTCATCCAGGTCATGGTCAAGGTTGAAGAGTTCTGTTAGGCAACATGGGGGGGCAACTCCTCAGGACAGGACTCAGCTGTTCACGTACACCTCAAGGACAAAACACACTCCTTCGAGGACAACAATCTTCAACCTGGAAAAAACACCACTCAACAGAGGAGGTGGGCTGAGACACACCCACAAGGTATGTTACTTTTGAATGGAAGTTACTTGACATGGTTTATGGATGTACTGTACTTTTGCACTAACAAATATATTGATCATTTTATCAGGAAGCCATATTTTATCTCAATGCCGTTGCAGCAAGCGCCCTCTTCTTTAATGGGCAGTTTAAAAGTCTCCATAAGATAATGTACCTATTAAGAAAGTAAGTCATTTCTTTTGATGTAGGGTCCTAACTCATCTTTATTAACGTACATATTTCTATATTATCTGTTACAGATTAAGTTCCCAGCAGAGAGTGTTTGGCTGTGTCATGTGAATGCTACTGCGCATTGGATTCTTGTGGTCTGTTTCCAAAATATTTGTTTTCTCTTTTGTTATGTGGACATATTTAAAAATGAAGTCTTGGCTGGAACAAATTATGCAGGCTGTGCAAGACTCTGTAGAGTAACCATTTAGCATAGTAAAGGAAGTCCTTATACAGCCTGTTTATTGATATGAAATATGAAAGGTTGTGGACATGGCAGAGAAGTTTCTCACTGTAACTGACCCAATGGGAAATGATGATGCCTACAACAGGAAGATTCTGAGGAACTGGCAGTAATATGTGCAATAATTTGCATACATACATTTTTTCAAGAGAGAAAAAAACAGTTTTAAAACAATACTTTTAATGCTGTAATAGAAACCTCCTGAGGAACAGGTCAAGGGAGGAATCCAAATATGTGTGGACAGTGCACACCATGGACCACAACACAAAGATGGATTTCAGTAGTTGTGGGGTTCTAGTGTTGAAGGTACTATTTCAAGTTTATGTTTAAGTACTTTGAAGATTAAGCTAATAGTATTTAATTGTAAAGATTATGTATCTAGAAGAACATGTGTTATTATGTAGATAATGTACCAAATCAAGCACATAATTACATTCATATTTCATTTACAGTACGCCGAATAATTCCTTCTGGAGTGGAAACATATCTGATGTGCAGACAACTCCAGAAGCTGTCAGTGAACAAAGGATGGACATAGCCTGTATCTTACTTGAAAATAGCTTAAAAAAAACTCTGTAAAATAAACCCAAATATTCCTTAGTACATATTATGATCCTTTCTGTTACCATTTGTGAAAATAAAAATAATAAAAAACAGTTTGCTGAAAAATCCTAGACTGAGCGTGATTTTCTCTTTTACAGTATATGCTGCATTGGGTAACATTTTTACATTTCCTCTGGTTTCAGATGTAAATGTAAAGAACATATAAATAAAGTGCTAGCCTAAACCCTGAGAGAACAGATATATTAACAGGGATTTTCTGTGTAGCCTCAAATAATGTGCTACAACTCTGAATACAGTGAGAAGCACGTATTATAACGATTTCATGTCTATAGTAATTTGCTACCACTCTGAACAGAGTCAGAACACTGTATTTATAGCAATTCCATGTCTATAGTAATGTGCTACCACTCTAATAGAGTCAGAAGCATGTATTTATAGCGATTTCATGTCTGTAGTAATTTGCTACCACTCTGAATAGAGTCAGAAGCACGTATTTATAGCAATTTCATGTCTATAGTAATGTGCTACCACTCTGAATAGAGTCATAAGCACGTATTTATAGCGATTTCATGTCTATAGTAATGTACTATCACTCTAAATAGAGTCAGAAGCACATTTATAGCGATTATATACCTATAGTTATGTGCTTCCACTTTGAATAGACTGAGAAGCACGTATTTATAGCGATTTCATGCCTATAGTAATGTGCTACCACTCTAAATAGAATAGAAGCAGGTATTTATCAAGATTTGATGTGTATAATAATGTTCTACCACCCTGAACACAAATGTCAGATATGACTATAAATTTACGCTACCAGTAGGGAAAAACCTCAGGTAGGAAAAAACCTCAGACTACGCTATAAATTTCTGCTACCGGCCCATGTACGCATGCGCAGTTAACTCTGGTAGGAAAAAAATTATAGGTAGGAAAAAACTTCACAACACCGTTAGCATCAGGCTAACCTACCTGATCGATAGACGACTGTTTGTCAGCCTCAGAGCCGAGTCGAGCAACCTTATCGGGTAAACTCCGACACCGGAGCAACCACGGCCTCACTGTTTGCAGAAGCATGTTAACTGTGTCGCGCACAGCAGGACAAACGCAACCGCCGTAACTGCTAACAGACTAACAAACAGTGTAATCTTCTTCTGTAGAATGGGTTACAGGAAGGACGCTCCACACCGCCACCTGCTGCTGTTATTGGTGAAACAATTTTTTTTTGTCAAAAACAAAAAAAAAGCTGCGAATGTTTCTAAATAACTCTCGAAATAAATATGAAAACTTTTTTATTTTATTTTATTTGGAATTTAATTTACAAATCTCAAGTCAAAAAAATCCACTGATTAAATAATCATCTTTCAACATATAAATAATTTAGGATTAAGTAGCAGTAATTTTACGTATAATGTTCACATATTTACCTTTTAAACTGCCATTTTCTATTCCAAATCACAACAGTATGACTGATATAAATACACAAGTGTGTGATTTAAACATCGAACTTGTGTTAACCTTAAATTTTAATTTGGTGTTAGTCTTAAATTTCACCCTGAATCTCCTCAGTTACCTTTATAATCAACTTCAGGTTTTAGTCTTGGGCTGTACTTAATACATCTAAGAGCCGTACAAAACGTCTCACTTATGGTCAGGAAGAAAAGTTGTTTTTAAGTGGAAATCAAAGAGCTTGAAAAAAAACCTTCTTTCTGACCTGAATGCTTTATTTGAGGTAGAGTACATTTGGCAGAGTTTCAGCTCGTCTCGACCTCTGACCCTCTCCGCTGCTTTTGCTGTGAACCGTAAAGTGATGAAGAGACAGAGAGGATGTAGAGCCATGGAGAAACCTCTCAGCGGCTCCGAGAAGAATACAATAAAATAAAATGTGTGATAACTGGGAGACAAGTGGAGAACAGTGGTTGTACGGCACATATGTGAGAGATAAGAGGAGCAAATATGTGGGCTCGGAAAACGTCTAGTCACGCACACACACACACACACACACACACACACAGTATTATGTAAGCCTACAGGAACATTGGTCTACCTCAGCCGTGACCTGCTGCCCATCAATTATTCCAAGTCTTCTCAAATACATAAAAACAAAATAAAAATAAATACTATGATGCTAATGATGCTGTTTTTAGTTTAGCTAGGTTCAGTTGGTACTATTTAACTACTTGCACTGTTCAGAAATCTCAGGCATGAAATCAGTGAAGTAAATCTGAGGTCATCAACCCCTACGAGGTCCAAGCCGAACCTCGGATTCAAGAGGAACAATGCGGTTTTCATCCTGGTTGTGGAACACTGGGCCAGCTCTATACCCTCCACAGGGTGCTTGAGGGTTCATGGGAGTCTGCCCAACCGGTCCACATGTGTTTTGTGGACTTGGAAAA